GTGTAGTAAAATGCAGTGTAGGAGCTTCCAGAGCTTGCAGTAATTCTATAAATTATTCACATTAATTTAACTTGTGGATTTGTTCCAAAGGACTGCATATTTCCATTTGAGTTGCTGTTCTGCTACCCAAATGTTTATAGCTCCCACCTCCCTTGGTTAAGCAAGAATGATGATAAAATAACCAGAAATCTTCATTCACTCTGACAAAAGCAATGCAACACATCATTAAATGTCACATTATCCTCTAGTCAAGCTTGTTTATATCATGTTCTTCATGAGATTTCCTAGTGTTTCATGATGCTTTATTCTACATGAGTGAGATGCTGATAATGAAAGCTGAATGTATCCCAGATTTCTGTGGCTCTCTTACAATAGAACTATATTGTGTATGTTAAGCCTGGCTCCTGTGTTGAATGACTTCCCTTATGGGCTGGAGAAGAGTGTCTTTTGGGTTTCCTTGGTATTGGGCCTAGTGATGTCACCAAGCCTGAATTTAGTTTGAAAGCATAAGAGATACAGTAGTTCTCCCGTAACATAGGAATCAGTTGTGTTGAATATGACTAGAATTGTCAATATTTCCCCCCTCGAATTGTTTTAACCAAAATCATTGAAAAAACTGACACATCTGAACAGATCTGTTGAAGTTCCCCATTATCTGGTTCAGAAAATGTTGAGCACTTGAGCACAGAGCTTCTAGGGAGCATTCAGAACATAGGAGCTCAGCCCTTCACCCCTTTCTAGTACCTAGCCAGGCTCTGATCTGGGTAGGTGATTACATGAGCTTCCATCTCTTCATGAGTAGATTTGTGAGTAGCTGGGCTACTCATAGATTTGTATGAGTAGCTGTGCACTATACCGGTGGCCCTAAAACTCATGCCTGGCACACCTCCTCAGTCCCTGCAGCAGATGAGGAGGCGCAAATGTTGCCCTCTCTTTAGAAGCTCATTCTGATTTATTAATAATATTTGTATCCTCTTTGGCTTTGATATTTGGTGGGAATTGGGATTTCTAAGTTGTTATTTACCTTATTACTTTGCACTGAACTAACCGTTATGGGTGTCAATACCATAATATATAAGTCTCCACTTGTGTAAAAAGCCTATCACAGCATTGATAATTGTCTGCAAAGTTTCCTGGATTTTTATTGTGCAAAAATCATAGTGTGAATTTGCTGTAAGAAAAAAACCTTTATTTATGTATGTATGTATGTGTGAAAGATATAAATACAAATTTTGAACTGGTGTTGGGAATAATAAATTAATAATTTACACAAGACTAACAGAACATTTAGACAAAGATCAGAAAAGAAAATAACACGTTGACAGTTTGGTTTAAGGTTTTATTACAGGTAACTCTGAATCCCTCCCCCTTCCCCCGTTATTTCCTTATTAATGGTTGTTGGGTTTGCTTTTTGTTTTTGCTTTCCCTCTGTAGCAGATTAATTTGATCATCAGGGTGCAGAGTTTCCAGTCTGAAGAAGAGGAAATATTTTGATAGAAGGGAAGTTGTGTCTTTAGACACAGTAGCTAAAAATAGGTATTCTGCTTTTGAATGGTGTGAATAAATTCTGAAAACAATCCATGATTGTTAGAAATGATTATTTAACAAAATGGCTAGTGTTCTCTTGTTTACCCCACCCTGTAAACCATCTACCACTTTCGGAAGAGGTTAGTTTACCATTTACCATTGTCAAGCAGTTTAGATAAATCTATAAAAGTAATCCATTACTCATTAAACTTCAAGATTACACTTCTGAAATTTCAAACCTGTACTATGTACATACCTAAAGCTTGTTAAATTTGGAGATTTCATTTTTTTTTTTTTTAAATAATTTTATTGGGTTTTCACATTTTATATAGACAAAGACAAAACACATAACACCAAAACAAACATAAAAAAACAACAGCAAACATGAATAATTCCAAAAATCTTATTTTCTAACCCTAGTCCTTGACTTCCCCCCACCCCCTCCCTTGCATCCCTGTTCCCAAGTTTATGTCAGCAAGTTAGCATTTCTTCCTTCTTAATGTTAGTCCTTTTATAAAAACAAAAGATAAGTTTTCCCTAAGTTGGACCCCAATTCTCTTCCCTCGATTTCTCATTTTTTCTTGAGTAATTTCCTTATTACTAAACCCCTGGTCTTGAGTGTTGTTTAAGTTTGTGCTTCCCTCCCTCCCATCCCCGCTTTGCGTCCTTTCACAAGACATGTCCAAAATAACAGTTTTTAGCCTGGATTCCGCACATCCGAGGCTCTCAAATCTATTTCAGTCCCTCTCCGCCGGTTTTGTTGATAGTCCTCTTTGTCAGTCATCGAGTCTCGAAAGATTTCATTAACATTCAGTCCAATCAGTCCATAGTCTCTTCCCATATTTATAAACAACTGCTGAAGAATTTCCACAAGGCCTGAGTCTTGGTGATGGTCAAAGTCAGAGTCTATGTGGAGGCCCCAATTGTACTTCTTTATTTCGAGTTCCTGAGTTCCATAAACTCCCAGGGCCTCCACTTTCATCTTCTGTATCTTTCGTAGGCTTGGAATAGATTCCATCCAATGGTCTCCTTGTTTGTATTCTCCAAATATCAACTTCTGGTTAGTATTTTCCCACATAACTTGTTCTCTTTCTTGTTTTGTCTTCTCCTCTTCTTTGTTTATTATTTCAAATTCAGCTGTGGGTTCTTTCTCATTCAAGTCCTCATTACATTCAGCAGAACTACTTGTTTCCAAATCCAAGGCCGTCAATTGTTTACTCATAGCTGTAGTCTGCTCCTGTAAGGTTCCCACCAGTGAAAACATCCTTTCGATTTCTCTCTGTATCTTTCCACCCACAGCCATTGTAATTCCACAGAATTCCCCCTAGAGGGAATCTGGTTACTGGATGGTCTTTTCTCCAACAATCCTCTGTCCTATTATTGTTTCTTTGTTTCCCAAAATTTTAGATCAATTGTAGCTCCTTTTTATCCGGAGAGGTCTTAAGTAGCAATTTTTTCAGTATTAACAGTCCATTTGACAGCTTTGACAGCTGTCAAATTCTGCTCCTCTATACAGGCTCCAAAGCAGATCGCTCCCGGGCTCGGGAGGGAGGGTTGTTTACCACAAAACAAAAACTCTTCCAACACTCCACTCTCCTGCTTAAATTTGCTTTTCCAAATCTTGGAAGTTACTGTCTTTTTTGAAACTCACCCTTTACAGGGTGGGCACTCCAGCTTAGCTCTTATATCGTTGCTCTGGATCGTCTGCAAGGGGGGGGGATGGGGACTTCCTTTTGGCACACCCCCCGGTCGTCTCAAATTCAAAAGGTAAAAGTTTTTAAAGCTCAGTTCCAAATTACTCACGGGTTCTTTTTTCAATCCAAATTTCAAGGAAGGAAGTCAGCGCTCTCCGGTTATGGCTCGCGGCTTCGCTCAGCGGCGGTAGCGATCGACTCTCAGTGCCGCGCCGTCCCCCGTATCCCCTCCATAGCCTTTAAAAAGGCTCTTCGCGAATCAGGGGGGGCGCTTAAGGCACCCGCCGAGTCTTCAGTCCGCAGGCATCTGCACCTGCGGTTTTTAAGGGTCCCCGTGTCGCCGGCACGGCAAAGACCCATCCACCGCTGAGCCGATTCCCTCCGGAGCTCGGAGGGAATCCGCCATTCCCGGATCGCGCCAACCCGGAAGTCTCTAAATTTGGAGATTTCAGGTCAGTTTGTCAGAAGTTTGGAGATAGGGATAATTTAGGAACCTAGCTTTCACATTTAGACTACCCTGTACAGTTTTGAGGGTTTTCTCTAGCTGAAAATGTCTCCAGGAAAAACTTAAGTATTGTTGGAGAAAGGCCTCTGCCTTGTCCACAGAATTGCTATGTGCTCATAGGAAAATACCATTTTCCATTGACCAAGAGTCCATTGGCATGGATTTTAGAGCTCTGTTTATTGAGGTCTCTTATTTCTGCTTTCAGAGCAATGTGTTGCATCATAGGTCAAGGCTATAATAAAAATATTATAATCAGTTTTGTGATTTTGGAGGTTTCAGTGTCAAAGGCAAGTAAAGTTTTAGGAATAGCACTCTTAAGTAGAACATTAAACTTCATGTTCATTGCTCACAATCTATAATCTGGTCGGAATCTACCAACAGTGAAGTTTCAGATTCTTGACAGCATAGCACATTTCATTGCTTTCATTTAGTGTATTGTGTAACCAACCAGAGATATACCAGGAAATTACCATGAGCAGGAAAAGTCTAATTTAGCTGCAGTCATAGCTTTGCGAGGTGGGACACAATTTGAGAGCACAAATAAGTCAATGAAGGGTGGCCTTGGGAACAGGGTAGAAATATTTTAAGAAAATATCCATAGTTTATTCATGTGCTCCTACACCTTCTGCCTGCCAACCAGGAACAGGTTTGGGGTTTTTTTTTTGTTATAACACACAAATATAAATCTTTCCCCAGGTTGAATTGTTCCAGCTTTTATAAGACCATTTCTGGCGTACATATGTAGTAAATGTGCAGACAGACTTTGAACCTTGAAGTTGTTAAGTTTCATTGCAAAGGCAGCTTTCTGTTTGTTTTGGGTGCTTCTACAAGTTTTTTAAAACTGGGCTGTGTAAGTGTGATAATCAGCGGTCCATGCAGCCTTCCCTAATCTGCCCTCTTCCTGTTTTGTCTGGTATTACTTGCAGTTACTCATTCATTTAGATTTTACATAATTTTATTACTATTTGCATAAATGCTTTTCACCTTGCTTTACTGCATTTTAATGTTTCTTTTTATTATTTGTTGAATAATAGTTTTTTTTTCCTTTTGAAAAAGGAAATGCTTTTTAAAGAAAAAAATCAGCATTTTAAATTAAACTATTTCAGTTAAACTAATTTGGGTTGGAGTTTAACTTACATTGTTGTTAACTTGTGTTACTTTTAGTCTGTCATTGCTTTGTTTTGTAATGCTCTGGAGCCTAGGTTCAGAGTTCATACCTAAACATTCTAAATAGTTCTTCCCTATTTCTTTCTTTGTTTCTGTTTCTTATACAGGAAATAAAAAAAGAATCAAAGAAGGAAGGTCCTGTCATCAAAGTACCCGAAAAGTCTATACATGATGTTTCCAATGGAAGTCCTTTACTGTTGTCTGAGACAATTATTAGAGCCTCCAAAAAAGGTAATATATTTTAAATTAAAAGCTCCAGGATAAACTGTATTTGGAATGTTTCCAACCATAAAATGATACACTGGACAAATGTGTATACATTAAGGGTGGGAAAAGTTGTCAGATGGGCAAACAGGTTTATGAAAGCCAATTCAAACATTCAGTCACTGTGTCTTCCCATCTGAGGATACCGCTCTCTTATCAAGTACATAATCACTTGTGTTTCTTTAACCAAAGTGCTTCATTATTGAGTGCAATTATTTTAACAAGGAGCAGCTAGTTATAGGTAGATTTATGGCAACATAGGGCTTGTCAACACCAGAGTTTAGTGTCCTTCTGAAGCTACTTGTGTCTTTTCATTTCATTTTGGTGGTATCTACACATCTTCCTTCTCCAAGTGGCAGCTTGCACTCCCCCCCCCTTCAGCCTTTTCCAATTTGCAGATAATCCAATAAGGAAAGAAAATCCAATATAAAAGTGCATGCTATCCAACTGTGGATGTGCTGAAGCACATTGTGTGGCCAGGTTTCTTTATGTGTGTTGTTTCTGTCAGCTCAAAGGATGCAGTGTGCCTTTCTCCATTGGTTGTTGCTGAAGGCACATTTGCAGTAATTTTTTTAAATTTCTAAAACAGCTCTTTCGCACAGAACAGCTCAAATAACCAACTTCCCACCCCATACTAAGTTCATAATTGGCAAGTGACTGTTTATAGCAGGGGTGTCAAACTCAAATTCATCGGGGGCCGCATCAGCAGTTTGGTCACCCTCAAAGGGCCGGTTGTATCTGTAGGACTATGTGTCCACATCATATGTACTTACAGTACAGGAGAGAAGGGTTCAGGCAGCCGTTGGATCTGTCACATCACAGGATGGCATGCGCTCAATATAAAAACAAGTGGAGGTTTCCTGAATGCATGTAAAGTGGAGGTTTCCTGTGTAGAACGGCCGGCGCCGCTAGACGGCAGACGTTCTCTGGCTTGTAGGCTGCGCATGCACTGAAGAGGCGGCTTTCTTGTGTCAAAAAAAACAACAAACGAGAATAAAAGGTGAAGGCCGCCGGCGGCTACACGGGCCACATGACGAGGTCTGGCGGGCCGGATTCGGCCCGCGTACCTTGTGTTTGACACCCGTGGTTTATAGCTATCTAGAAAAGCACAGTAAATACTTTGGTAGTTAATTGTGCAAAGTAGGCAATGCTGGTTATATACATTTTACATTACCCACATATATTATCCATATATATATATATATATATATATATATATATATAGTTTTGGAAACATGCTGAGTTTATTATCTCAGTACCAGTTTTCCCCTTCCTTTTCTTGCATCGTAGCATGATGAAATAAACAGGATATTCTCAAATATAGTTAGGTCCATGCAACAGCTTAAAAACCTGATCCTGCTAAATAGAATATGTTTTGATTGCTTGAAAGAAAACATGCAATTTTGACATAGTTGTGTCAGTGGGTTGCCTTGCCAGTTATGCTCTCCAGAGAGTGTGGAACCATTCAAGGATTTTTATTTCAAGAACAAATGTTGTATTTTTTACCTTGGAGGCTTACCAGCTTCTGTTTCTTATCTCAAAGCCAAGTCCTTGGTGACTATGAAACTTTGAAATGTGCTATTCATGGCAGAAACTGCCTGTTTGTGTCAAAATCTTACTGGAAACTAAGGGGAAAAAACTTACCAGAAACCAGTACAGTGGTACCTCGGGTTAAGAACTTAATTCGTTCTGGAGGTCCGTTCTTAACCTGAAACTGTTCTTAACCTGAGGTACCACTTTAGCTAATGGGGCCTCCAGCTGCCGCTGTGCCACTGCCGTGCGATTTCTGTTCTTATCCTGAAGCAAAGTTCTTAACCTGAGGTACTATTTCTGGGTTAGCGGAGTCTGTAACCTGAAGCATCTGTAACCCAAGATACCACTGTATTAGGCTATTGAGCCACCAGTCAAAGAAACTCAACCCAAAGGACTGAATCCAGGCAGTCTGTGAAACTAACAATCATCCTATATAAGCAACTAGCAGCATCATACCTGGCATTGCTCAGGAATTCTAAGGATCAATGCAATCAGAAAGGTTCAGTCCACCATCTTGATTCAAAATGGCATCCAGTTGTATCCTAACTTAGATGAAAACCTGATCGTGAAACTCAGGAACCATCATGCAAAATTTGCTTATATCTTAAGAAGTGTCCAAACACATAGCAAGCAAACAACTTCCCAAAATATATAGTAGATAGAATATTATATAATGAGAGCAATTAAACATAGCATTAAGCTAAAGTCCCTCCCCCCACCAAAAAAACCACCTCTGTTGCAGAATATGATTGGATTTACTTAGACAAGGGGATAAAATCCATAAAGTATTGCAGATAAGTAGGTGATCTATGGCAGATTAGAAAGAACAAGACAGCACTTAGAAGTCCTATTAGTCCCAGGTAGAAGAATTGTGTTGGGGGAAAAGAAAAGAAAACAAAAAAAAAGCCCAAGCCATGTGATATGAGATGTTTGATGAAGATATACAGTACTAGAATATAGGCTCTGAAAACCAAAGATTCTGATACATTTTGCCTGTGGAATTTTTGCATTATCTTTTCGGTGTTCTAAAAGACTTGGCATTGGGTTTTTTGGGTTACGCTTGTGCATGTAATAGAAGGCTCCATATGGTCTGTGGCAGCTGGGCCTCTGTTATCTGGGGCACTAAAATGGAAAGGAAGTACATCCTGTTACAACTTTTAAATCCTAGCAATTTTTAATAGTGTTTTGGTATGCCTGGGCTTGTACTAACCATTTAATTTTTAATGTCTCCTGCAAGTTCACTTTTATGTAAGAGATTTTTAAATGTCACAGTATGTCAGAAAGCAAATGAAAGCTGGATAAACAGGAAAATTGACTATTCTAAATCATTGTACTAAGACTTGTACAAGGTAGAAAAATGATGAGGAAATGAAATGTAGCATGGTATCAAAGGTGCTTTTAAAAAATGATGGGTCAAGCCTCCTGACTCCTTGCAACTTCAACATGGGTCCTGATAGTTTGGACCCAGACTGTTTTATGGATTGACTCATCATTCCCATTTCTGGTCTGTGCCAGCTGCATATGGAAGTTTGCTTGGGACACTATACTTCCGTTGGTGCAGCATCACACTGTTGACTCATGTTAATCTTGTGGTCTAGTAAGACCCCTAGGTCTTTTTCTGACATACTGCTGGCAGGCCAGGTGTCCCCTATCTTATCTGTGCAGCTGGTTCTTCCTGCCTAAGTGTAGAACCTTACAGTTGTCCCCATTGTAATTCATTTTGTTGGTTTTTGCCCAGTTCTCCTGTCTGTTAACATTAAGCATGAATTCTGATTCTGTCTTAAGTGGCATTGGCCACCCCTCCCAATTTGATGTCATCTGCAAATTTGATGAGCATACCCTCAATTCCTTAATCCAAGTTATTTATAAAGATGTTGAACAACAACGGGCCCAGGACAAAACCCTACAGCACCCCACTTGTCACTTTTTTCCAGAATGACGAGGGGCCATTAGTGAGCACTATTTGGGTTTGGCAAGTCAACCAACTTCAATTCCACCTAACACTTATCTTGTCCAGTCTACATTTGCCAGCTTCTCTGCAGGTATACCATGGGGGACATTGTCAAAAGCCTTACTGAAATCAAGATACACTATGTCCCTCAGCATTTCCCTGATCCATCAAGTTCATCAGGCCCTGGAGATTTGGATTTATGCAAAGTAGCTAGATGTTCCCTTACCACCTCTTCCTGTCTTGGACTTCAGCTTCCTCTTTGCCTCATTTATTAGTAAAAAATATATAGGACACTCTTTGACCTTAATCACCTCTCTAGAGTCTAGCAGATAAGACTCAAAATGATGTCCCACTTATCTCTCGTCTGTATTCAAATTAATGTAAAGCTGGTAGCTCTGGCCCTCTTTTTCAATTTTATTGATCTTCAGGCTGAAGGAGCAGCTGGGCCATTTGCAGTTTTTTTCATTTTTGGAGGAATTTAAAGGATACTACATTCCTGACACGAAGTTTTTGGAATTTCATTTCCTGTTTTGAACCCGAGGGTAGGTCACTTGCAGCAGTACCCTGGAGCATCTGCTCTGCCTGTATTGTAATTTATAGGCATAAAATGATGGCGATGAGAATGAGAGCCAGAGACACAGATCAACAATCTCATCTTTGTAGAGCCGGCACGTTACATTCTGTTCCTGTAATGAGTTGCAATGAGGAAACTGTTAAGGAGAAGTGTATCACTTTCTCTTACCAGACTTGTGGCCAGTGTGAATGCTGCATGAGAGATGAGATTAAACTTGAAATGCCTGTGTCAGGACACTAAGGGTGCTATCCAGCCAAGAAGTCCCTCCAGCTCAAGCACTGTTGTCTGTGGCAACAGAACTTCCCTCTCCTCTCCCTGTGCATCCCCTAAATTTGTCCTAGGGAACATTTAGGTAGCTTGTGGGAGAGGAGAGGGAGCAGGAAAAATAGCCTGGGCTATCAGAACTGTTTAGATGCATACTGGCCTAAGAAACTAAAAGTCAATCCAACAGCCCATTCATGGAGCAGCCAGCCATGTAGTTCACAGTGGAGAGAGACAGTGGACTGGAAGGTGCTTGTTAGAGAGAACCAACTGAGGGAATAAATGCACACGCACGGGAAACCATTTATAGCCAAAGGCGGCAGTTTCTTGGTAGGTGAAAATGGTATCCAGTATCTGGGACAGAAGGGAGGAAAGGCTGATATGGCACAATGTATTTGATAAAACATGTATAGGATTGGGGGGTGGGGCGGAGAAAACAACCATTATAGACAGGTTCCAAAGAAATTGAGACATTTCCGTTACATTCCTGTATATTGTTTAGATTTGGGCTTTTGCTGTTTGACTTTTTAAAAATCCTAAACCCATATTTATACCGTGCATTATAAAAATCCAGGGTGTTTGTTTATGAAAGCATTTAAATGACATCCACAATCTAAATAAGAGAGAGCGCGCGCAAATTGTATTTCC